GACAAGCAAGCTGGAATATTGTGGTTCACCCATCATGTTTGACTTTGAAATTACAATGGTGGATTCATCCATGCTAAGCCAAATGGCATTTCAACATCAGATACCGCAACTAATTTCCACTGTCAGAATAGCCTTCACATATCTAAATGCTTTTGAAGGCATCTTAACTGCTAGCCATCACTGTGTTGTCTGACAACAAATCCTATACGTTCATTGTTGCATGATATGAAGAAAGAGTCTATTTGACAATTTAGATGCATTAGTTACTCTGAGTAGAGAGGCAGAATATAAACCAAATAAACAAATTTTATTTATTTGACAATTCTGGTGGCACTAAGCACTGTCTTAATAAGACAATATTGAAGGAGATGAATGTTGTGTCTCAGTTTTAAAAAATGAAAGAAAAAAATGAGGTCACTTCAGAATGCTCCATTATAACAGATCAATGTATCTAAGATTAAATGGGAATTTCCCATCCACCCACCCAAATCCCAGCCTCAATCAATTTGTCTATTAGAATTAATAATTTTAATCCTCCTGCAGTTTCTAAACATTTCTAGCAATAGGTAGGAGCTCCTCAGAAAGAGATCCAACTTAGAACTAAGGTGGAATTTCCTGACAGTGAGAGCAATTAATCTATGGACAGCTTGCCACCCAGAGTTGTAAGTGATCCATTTCTGGAAGTTCAAGATGACGTAAGAATTCCTGCCTGGGGCAGGTGTTGGATGAGAAGTCCTTCAAGATACCTTCCAGCCCTGTGATTCTATGATTTCTCAGTTAGAAGTCCTCCACCTCTTCCTGGGTCCCCTGCCTGAACCTTTCTTGGGGAACTACCTGGTCCATGAAGCTGTTTTGGGCAATCCTCATCAGACAGTAACCATTTTGTCACACTAGATGATAGAGATGAGATGGGAAGCAAGGAGAAGGACCAGCTACCAGAAGGACCATCCTCTTCCAGAATTATATCAAATATTCCAGGCCATGATTAAAGAACTCCTTTTTTAACATTATAATATAGATCTGAACTTGCTATTTTTCCTCTTCCCTCCCATAACTTTTCTCTTTTGTATATTAAGTCTGGGGACAGGCTTCTTTTAAAAATTGATGACATACAGAGTCCAGGTGGTCCTTGACTTATGACCATAATGGAACCTGCCTATTATAGTCATTAAATGGCTACAATTATTAAGGGAGACACTCGCAGGATTGCCTCACTCAATGACCGCTGTCCCAGTCCTCCCCTATGTGGCTACTAAGCGATCGCACAGGTGGTTAAATGAACGGAGCAAAGGAGCTGCCTTCCGAAAGAAAAGAGGCGGTTCCTCTCAGTGCACCGAACCATCGTGATGGGTCACACAGCTGCCTTCTTCCAACCCAGCGCATTGGCTCCCCTCCCCCCACTGTATGCTAGAAAATTAGCCTTTCTCTCTAGCTGCCCTGCCTTCCCAGGGCCGGAGAGAAATACTTTTTTCTCTGGTATGGGGCAGGGTGGGGAGGTGGCACCCTGCGTAGAGAAACAAAGTGGCTTGCAACCTTCCCTGTTGACTTTCTGAGCAAACTATCAGGGAAGATTGCAAAACACATCAGTGGTGGGATTCAAAAAAATTTACTACCGGTTCTGTGGGCATGGCATGGTGGGCGTGGCAGGGGAAGGTTACTGCAAAATCTCCATTCCCTCCCCACCCCACTAACCTGCTTTCCAGCTCCATTCTCCTGTGCAAGGCAACAAAAGAAGACACAGCCAATCAGCTGGGACTTGGGAGGCAGAGAATAGATGGGGGCGGGGTCAGGTCAGAGGTGGTATTTGCCAGTTCTCCAAACTACTGAAAATTTCCGCTACCGGTTCTCCAGAACTGGTCAGAACCTGCTGAATACCACCTCTGAGCGTGGAGGGCTTGGCAACCTGTCATAAGCGTGAGCGGGTTGCCAAGAGCCCAGGTCACAATGACATGGCCGTGGGGGCGCTGCAATAGCCATAACTTTGAGCACTAGTCATAAATCCCTTCTTTCAGCATCGTAATTTTGAACAGTTGCTGAACGAACAGTCATATGTCGAAGACAAGAATACAATTTGCTTTACCACAATAAACAAAAGCCAATACTGCTGTGATAGCACGCAGGCATCTCTATGAGATGAACTTCCAACCACGCCTTGACTACAGATAACGGGAAACACTGACCAGAATCCTTCCGTGCTCAACATAAAAGGATAGATTATAATCAAAGGATCCCAGGCATTAGACCTGCTGGGAAGAAGCCAGCCAACTTCATTTGCCAATGGATTCTTCTCTTTCTCTGCATAGTGGCATCCCCCAACATCAGGATTCTTCCTACCCATCAATGGATAATCTGCCTTTGGTTCTGAGCATTAGCCCTTATTTTTCACTATCGGTTTTGGCCTTGTAGGCACTTCAAATAATGCCTTTGAAGTGGGGGAGACCGATTTCCCCCCCTTGCCCTCCCCAGGGCTCCAACTACTGAGCTACAAAGTAGCTAACCACACATTTTTCTCTTAGCAGGCTATGCAAATCTAGCCCATGAGTGAATGTAAGGTTCCATGTATCAGACGAACAGCAACAGTGTGGTGAAGTAACCAAGAATAAAAGTTATTCATCAATTAGCAATCCATTATGACCATTGTTATAATAGCTTCTGAGAATCTGAATCTTTTAGATTAAGAAATGGAGAGATGGTTTTGAAGCCAGTTACATTCTTATTTCACAGGAGGGAGCAGGAAGAACATTCGGAGACCAAATAGAGAGAAAGAGCAAGAAAAGAACCAAATTTTTAAAAAAGGCATATTTAGCAAAGGGAAAAACTGAGATTTGACTCTATTGCATAAACAGCCTCATGACCCAAGATATTCCCCAAGAAAGGATGAGGGCGTTATCAGGGGACCCAGGTAGAGATGGAGGACTTCTAAACCAAAATAATCATAGAATCATAGGGCTGGAAGGGATCTTAGAGATCTTCTTGTCTAACACCCTGCCCAAGGCAGGAATCCTCACACTATCTTGAACTTCCAGAAATGGATCACTTACAACTCTGGGTGGCAAACTGTCCATAGATTAATTGCTCTCACTGTCAGGAAATTCCACCTTAGTTCCAAGTTGGATCTCCTTGCTTCCATTCATTGCTAGAAATGTTTAGAAATGACCTACTGCAGGAGGATTAAAATTACTAATCCTTTCCTTTACAGTAGAGAAGGATCCTTCAACTGCCTTTGGCTAAATTTGAGTTCCTTATCATCTGTGTTTTGTCTTAGATTTGGAGGCTGGTAAAACCAATCACCTTCCTCAACCTGCATCGCAAGTTAATTGATCTTACTATACAATGATTGTGATCTCCATTCAGATCTTCAGAAATGTTCATTTCAGACTTGGAATGGCTTTCAATAGCACTTCAATAACACTTAGACTTATAAGCTTCACAGGGCTTTGCAGACCTCTCTAAGTGGTTTACAGAGCCTTTGTTATTGCCTTGTTCCTTTTTCTGGTGCTTTTGAGGTCCTGAAGGTATTCCTAATTATTTCTATTTGTAAATGTACCAGCTTTTTTATTATTATTACTTTCAGGTTAACATATCACTTGATGTACATTAACTAACTTAATGTTTGGCTCACATGTAACTGCTAATTGCATTTGGGTAGTTCTGAAGCAATTCCTTTTTTTTTAATTCCCTATCCCCACAACACACAATGTGTGCATATAATCCTTGCACAACTTTATTTTCTGCACATTTCCTGAAGTGGGTTGTGATCCAAGAAAGCTGGTTAAGATAATAAATGTAACTCTTCTGTAAGATTCCTCCTGTTTTTGCAGAGTTCATAAGGGGTGTTTTTTTCTCCCTAAAGAATACTAAAGCAACATCGTTTCCCTCACAGAGATTAATTCCATATATAAAATGTTTTCCCATTTTTTCCATTTAAAATGTTCAAGACAACACAGCATGCCACTACAAAACACACTAATAATTAAACCAAGGAATTAAGAACTGCAACAATGCAAGACTCCTCAGAAAAATGTATGTGCACTTGAATAACAAATTGAGATCCAATTGACAATGGTTTGGTCTACTTCAGGGCAAGCATTTTTCTACCCAAGCAAGCCCTTGGCCATTTCCCATCAAAATACTGAAGTACCTTTGAGTTTCTATGATACTCTGAGGCCCAAGTAGAAATTGTAACTTCACCGCAGAACACAGGAGAAATTTTAAAAAGAAATGCCAGGGCCAGCATTTTATAGGTGCACACATAAGATTGGTCATTGTAGCGACATATCTTGCTTTGGTATAAAAACCAAAGCAAAAAAGGTGGTCTTTCTTAAAGACTTGAGAAAAGAAGAAAAAACAGGCTCTTTGAAGTACGAAGGGGCTGATGGAGTCCTGCAGTATTTTCTCCTTCTCTGATATGGAAAATATTAGCTAGGTGCTCTAATAAAATTTGGTAGGCACATTTCTCCTGGGATTAGCCTAGATATTTGCTACTGGCCCTTGCTTGCCAATCCTGTTCCGTCCCCAGCCATAAAGACCAAGACACCACCAGCACCATCCCCCAAAATTAAACCCACAGCATCTCAGAACGTCTCTGAACTGAAGAAACCTCCTGAAATTAGCAATAGTTCCCAAAGATGGCTCTGTCTAGACCTGCAGGTTTAGACTCATTCTGCAAGGGGCTATTTCCCAGATCAAAGCCTAAAGAAACCAGGAGTGATAACGTTTTATCATTTAAGACCAGCAACCTGGCGGAGAGGAAGCCTAGGGGCTAATGTGTATAAAGAGAAGCACTTGGGCCCAAGGCTGCAGACCCCTTAAATCCTCTGATCTGTTGGGTGCACTGGCTCCGGCTACTCAAGAGTTAAAAGAAGAGGCTATCATCCTATGCTCAGAATCACAGGCTGTTTTGTTGCTGCCTCACACATGCCAGGGCTGAACCGGGCACCCCAAGCTGGCAGGGCCCTTGGGCAGCCGGGCATCACCCTTGCCCCCCGAGGAGCACCCACCTCTGTCATCAACCGGTCAGCACCTGTATTCTCTTCATCCTTAAAGATGATGTCAGGGTTGTAGTTGGGCACCAAGACCTTGAAGCGCTCGGAGTGGCGGCTGATTTTGCCCTCGGCTTTGCCACTGGCTCCCAGGGTCTGTTCCGCCACATTGGGCACAAACTGCTTGTACTGCAGCGGGGCCAGGCTTCTGCGGCTGGACTGCTTCCGTCCCACCGGCCCCCTGCCTGGGCCACAGCCCTGAGCAGGGCACAGGAGGCAGCTGGTCAAGCAAAGCCCAAGCAGGTTGACCAGGGTAAGCCTGCGCCAAGCCATCTCAGCCAGATGCCAGCCTAGCCGGCCCTCTCCTCAGACGGGCGAGTCTCCGCTGGTCTCCAGGAGCGCAGTCAGCTGAGGTGGGCATCACCCTGACCAGGCTGCTGGGAAGCCAAGAGGATTCCTCCACGCTCCCATCCCTTCAGGAGGCCGCTGCTGGCAGGGAGGTCTCGCTGTGCCCCGCGTCTCCCCCCGCAGTGCCACTGCCTGGCCCCCATACGCGATTCTGGCCCCTCCCCGTGCCAAGACACAGTGGCCCTTTCAAAGTCGCCACCACAGCTCCCCGCGCTTTCCAGAGAGCAGCCCGGCTCTTCCTGCCCCCTGGCGTCTCTCCCTGCCCAAAGCCATCCTTCCCCAATGGCAGGCAACCGGGCGACAGGAGCCCCAGGCGCGGAGGCGAGCGATGCCACCCTTCTGGTTACGGGCGCGGGGGAAACGTTGCTCCTGCTGCCCAGCCCCGCCTTGAAGCCCGGCCCCCAAGAGTTGCTGTGCCGGCCACATCCTTCTCGGGGCCGCCTCTCCCTTAAGGGGCAGTGGGCCGATTCCCGGAGGGTGAGAGGGAGGCGCACCCTAAGGATACCAACCTAGCGCGCAATTCCCGCGGCGCTCCCTGCCCACTCTCGGAAACTAGACAGTCGCCTCTTCGCCGTGCCAGCCTGCATCCTTGGCGCCCTCTACTGGCCAGGCCGGGGATCCCGCGACTTACCTTGCTCGGGGAGGGGAGGAGAGGGGAGGGGGCGCGCGGCGAAGGAAACGCTTCTTTTCGGAGAGAGATTTCACTTTCGGAGTCCTTTTCTCTCTCTCCCCGCCTCGGTTCCAGCATTCTTTAACGACCCTGCGCGTCGACGCACCTCGGGCCCTTTGAGTGAAGATTCCCGCCCCTCCCACACCCTGGTTTCCCTCAGAGGAAGTCGGTCTGTAGGTCATTAGGCTGAGAGGCATCAAACAGAGCTGCACTTTCAGCATTGTTTCCTGCCTTCCAGGATAGGAGAAAATAAATAACCGGAAGGCAGAATATCCCTGCCTGAAGCTGCCCCTTTTCCTCCCCTTCTGAGCAGAGAGCAAGGCACTTGAACCTTTCCTAGCCCCAGAGATATGGCCCCCAAAGAGGAGAAATCTCTTCTCTTCCCCCTTTCTTGGATGATGGCTGAAGTTGGCCCCCAGGTGTCAACATTTTAAAAGTGGATTCCTCTCCTGGGTTTTGCTTCACATGGTAGGTTGGCCCACATTAAAGCTAAACGCCGGATCATTTCCAGAACTTATTTTTCCTCTGCTACCAGACTTAAGGTGGGGGAAGAGGAAGGAAGGATTTTTATTGCCAAGGCCTCACCCTCAATTATGTCCCTGCTGAGAAAGGAGGAGGAAGGTCAACCTTTGGTACCTCACCAATCCATCAGTTTCTTGAATTAGGGCGCTGCTGCAAGGCATTCATAACAAGAGCCTAAATGATGGCTTCCTTCCCTTTCTAAGGTGATGCAGCTGAATGGAATTAAGGGGTCTTCGTGTCACGAGGCCTGCAATAATTTCCCCTGTACTTGCTACGCTTATTGGGAGTCTTAGGACTCGGGCTTGAATATAGGCAGTCCTGAACTTTTGACAAGTGGGAGAATTTCCACTGCTAAGCAAGATGGTTGTTAAGTGAGTTGCACCCAATTTTTTTGCCACAAGTAAGCGAATAACTACCGTAGAATGAAGAGAATCACACAGTTATTAAGCGAATCTGGCTTCGCCCATTGACTTTGTCTGAAGCCATCAAGGAAAGTTGCAAATGGCAATCTCATGGCCCTGGTCACTAAATGAATGGTTGTAGGCCAAGGACTACCTGTAAATACAGGTTTAAACACACATGCATGCAAAATGCGGGCTTAAACCTTAGGTTCCTTTTTCCTGCCTTTCCATTACAAAAAGAATCTTAGGAATCCATTCTTCCTAAAGCTTATCAAGGAAGGGCCACCTAAATAGCATTTTTGTAACAGATTTTTTTTTTAAATCTTAGGCTTACTTCCTCTCCCATCTTTCTCACTTCAAATTTGATAGGTTGTGTATGTGTTATTTGGGGCCTAGAAAAAATGTTAATCTGTACTGGAAGGCTTGGCTTGGAATTATAACAATTGTAATTCTAATTCAGCTATTTAGGACCACCAGGTTGGGCCTGTCCTTTCAAGTCCTTTCATGAACCCACTAGACAGTTTTCTTCTTTGACATGATTAAATTCATATATTGCACCAAATTGATTGCATAAATCTCCACCGTGAGCTGGCTCCTAACACTAGGTTGTGAAACACATTTGACAAATCGTATTAGCTAAAATGTTGTCACCCCATTATGGACAAGCATGATGCAGGAGTATAATTGTTTCAAAAACAAAATGTTTCCTCTACTCCCAAAATATTAAAACTCCCATTTTGCAACACAAGAACAATCCTGATTTGCATCATATAGTTCAAATGAAAACAGCTTTGACTTAATTTGATTGGCAGAGCGACCAAGTACAGAATTTTTCACATCCATATCAAATCACGTAAAAATCTGGAGTGGTTGAAACAGTGATGTACAAACCTAGCCATGATTTATATATAAGCCTAGCTGATAATGGTTGAATCAACAAACCGTAGCCCAGAGCAAAATATGACCTCCATCCCTAGTAGGTTTTCTCATTTATCAAGTTCAGCAGACATATCAGAGTCCTGTTATTTGTATTATCTATTAGCAGAATATTATCTTTCTCCAATTTCCCACAATATAAAGGCAACATCCAGAGAAAGAGTTTTGTTTTTAAAAAAAACACAATTTATTGCTTACACAGCTAGGTGTCCCATATAATAAGACCAGACATTCACTACATAACAAAGACAGTTGGTCCTGTCTGAGCTGAACTTTAACATTATAGTATTTTCCTGCAACAGATAGTTTAACACAGTTTTTTTTCCTATCCAAATTTAGGCCACCTTTAATTCAACTGGGCATCCTCTGGCTGATTGGGACTGCAAGTCCTAGAATTCATGGCCTGCAGAGCTTTTGAATATGTTGATTGAAAATTCTGGGAAATGCAGTACATTCATATCTGAAAGTATCTTTTTGAGCATGGTTAAAGGTGGCTCTGTGGAGAATGCAGACTCTGAAACATTGGGAGTTTTTTTCAGCTCCAGCTTTATCATCTATGGAGACAAATGGCTCACTGTCATCACCATGTAATCTTCAATCCTCTGAGTTATGCACAAAGGGATATGCTGCAACGATAGACAGGGCAGCTGCGGGGCTTGATAACCCTACCTATCTACAACAGAAGCTTTGATGCTGGGAAAGAGCCATGCTTGCGATTCAAAAAGCCCACATGGGGATAAATGACCCTCCTGTTCAATGCTGGCCCATCTGGTGGCCGTCTTCCCATTTGTAGCCAACCTGCTTACTGTTTTTCGCCACAAAATGAAGGATTAAGCTTCATGTTATTTCAATGAAAGCTGAAATCTGGTAAAAACATTCAAGTGCTGAGAGACTTCCAGTGGAAGCATTCACAGTAGATACAGACATGAGGCTAGAATGCCAGTTACAGCAAAAAAAAAAAAAAAGAAAGCTGAAAACTTCTGGAGCAGGGGTGGCATTCCATGGCCCCAACGACATTAATAAAAAAAATATCTCAAACAATTATGAATAGTTGGGGGAGGAAAAATATAATTTTCTCTACCATATTGCATAAATATCCATATATGCCTAAAGCATCCAATATTTACCAATAATGGGAACTAATTGCCCTGTTACGAGAACTGGACAATGCCTCTGGGGTGCCCTTCCTAGAATCTGAGTGGGAAAATTAGGCAAAGTAATTATGAAGTCTACCCAGTGAGGAATTTACTACCCGAAAGCTGACACGAATGAGAAGGAGACAGAAAGGCTGCATGAATATTCTTGAAGTCTGAGCTTTAGACTCAGAAGATTGGCTGCCCCATAATGGTATGGCAGTGGATTCCTCCTGGCTGGGCTAAACTGTAAAAATTCATCAAGGAAAAAACTGATTGGATCCTATGTGGAATCCTATTGCTATGAAAGAGTGAAGCATAATGCACTACAGTAGTCATTCTGAATGACACACACACACTCAAAACTCAAAACAATCACCCTTCACACACATACAAAGTTGGCTGCTGAATGGAATATGTGGCCCAATAGTGCCAACTTATATTGCACTTGAGTGAGGTACAAAACCGAGTTTAAAAAAAAAAACCACTCAGAACTTGGCCTCTTTGGACCACAGGATTTTGTGAGAGAAAGGAGGCCAGGGTAGGTATGAATTTTAAGACACATGTAAACAAAAGGGAAGGGGAAAGCCCCCAATAATAGAGAACGGCAGCATCTCTTAACGTGATGAGGGACACAAGCTCTATCTCCAGCAGGTTGAACCTTCATCTTGCCCCCTAAAAATTGGTCTAGCAGCTCATTTTATTTATCGGTCTCAGTCCTTTGTTCTCTTCATAACCTATTTCTGCTGCTGTTTTGCTTTTTTTTTTTAAACAAACTGCACATTCTCTTGCTCTTGTCAGAAAAGCACCTTAATCGAAATCCCAAAGGCCTTTCTTGTGCTGAAGCCTGTCGTTCCTCAGGCTTCTGGAAGGCAGGAAGAAGAGGCCACGCAACTGAAGGACGCGGCTTCTTCATCTCGCAGTCCTGTCAGGATGTCAGTTAAAACAAGGATCAGAATAAGGAAGTTCCTGACCTCTTTCCCCTCCACTGATTGGCTCAGAACACGAGCACAAAGTCAGAAAGGTTTATCCATAGTCCATGCCAAGCTCAATCTAGGCACAACTCTTGTTTTAGCTGAGCTTGCTCGGTTGGTAAGACCGGGTCACAGGCAGAGGCAGCTTGTGGAGGCCTAAAGAGAAAAGAAAAGTAGTTGAACACCTCAAGCCTGCAGTCTCGTCCTTTGCTATTTAGGCAACAAGAAAGCCAATGTGACACGACGATTTTGTTCTTTGTTGCAAGCCACTTGCGAAAAGTGATTTAAGAGTGGCCAACAGGTTTAGCATGCAAAACGAACAGAACAAGCTGTTCAGAGTTTTGCGGCGTAAATTCAGTGCCAGATAAGTAAACACAGATGGCTGATGCTTCGTTTAATATCTTTATAAACATGCTAAGTAAATTTTACAATACCAGTTGTAGATTTCTCCAATGGAATGGAGCAAATTCAAACAGAAGCAGACATGTTACAGGTTCAAAGCAGAACAGCAACTCAACTTCAGCAGGCAAGCAATCACACAGCAGAGGAGAGAAGCAGTTTCATCTTCAATAGACAGACGCAGAGCTTAACATAGCTTCAGAGCTGCAGAGCTTAATATAGAGCCACACCTAGGCTGTTTCAGTTTCCAAACAGTTCTCATTGGCTGACTTAGTTGCTATGCCTATTCAGTGGCTGACTTTGTTACCTAGCTCTATTCCAGTTCATGAACATACTCTTACACAAGCCAGCATGCAATCAAGGCAGAAAGATCTTCTTAATGGAAAGGCCAACTTAACAGACGTTCCAAGCCTTTCCCAAACTCAAAACCTTGGCGCGCACAGATGTATACACGTATACTAAGCCCAACTGGCTTAGCCCTAGCTTTCTGTATAAACAACAATTAACTGGGTTCATATAAGACACTAAGTTTAAAAAAAAAAGGGTATTATGATTCAATGTGATGTGTGGACAAGCTAGTGGCCATCCAAAAAGAGGAGGCTTCCAGCCCTAGGCTACGCAAAAGGTGCTCCTTTCCAGGTTGATCAGGCCACCCGCTGTCTCCCCCATTCCCAGAAGACCACCCAGACGTACTTACCAACTGCCCTGATGAGTTCTGCCTGCACAGTCCAGGTGAACTTCTTCACCAAGCAAAGAGTTGTGAGTCCGGCAAAGAGCATATTATAGAGGAAAACAATGTAGAAGTTTCCCAGCCAGTTAAACCTCCCAAAGTCTCCTAGCAAGTCAAATCTGGTAATCCCTGAAAGAAAGAGTAGAGAGGCAAAGAGGCTGACAATCATGGACCAGAAATTTACCCGTCTTCCAATCCTACTCTTGGCTCTTGTAGGAGGATCAGCCTTACTACCATGACACTTCGAATGTGGGGCAGAATTGAGCATCGGAACAAGTTTGGCTTTCATTTAAAAAAAAAAAAATATCCTATTTGGCGCCAAAAATTTTTGAAAAGCTTTCCAGGGAAACAGAATTTTAGTGCGTTACCATTTCTTGTATCTTTTCAGAAGATCTACTAGCAGAATCAGGATAATTATATTCACCTTTTTTCCCCTTTTGATATGTAATTTTTATTGTTTATATATAACTATAAATACAAAACACAGCACAGCCATTTTGGCACTACTTTGCCATACATACCAAAGAGGTAGTCAAACCCATGAACATTTCTATTATTGGTACAATATTTACATTTGCTTCCAACCCTCCTAGCTGTTTTTGTTCTGACCTTCCCTTCTCTTTTGCAGCCACGTATAAAACTTGTTCCAAGTATCGTAATATTCTGTATCCCCCTTCTTTTTCAATTCTAAAGTTAGTCTACTCTATCGGATTCTGCACACGCCATTATTTTCCTTATTATCTCTCCTTTCGGTGGTATATTTTGATTTTTCCAATACTGTATGGAAATTTACCACAGTGTTTAGGTTTCATCTGTGCAGGTCTTTTCGTAATTACTATAGCTCCAGTTTTTACAATGAGGCTATAAATTTACTTGATCAATCTGATATGTAGATCCAGGAAGCTATAGATAACCGTATGGATAAGAAAGAACAAGACTCACCCAACGTGCGAGACAACACAGGGAGTGCAGAACTCAACACCAAGAGGGAGACACAGTTCCCAATGATCTGCCAAGAAAAAAACAATGATGTAGCTTCTTGCCCCGGCTGCTTTCATCTCACACATTCAATCATTCAATCAAGAATATGTAATTTATTGACTCACGTATCCCACTTTTATTATTTTTTTTAACAAATAAATAACTCAAGGTGGCAAACATACGCGATATTCCTTCTTCCTCCTATTTTCCCCATTGCAATAATCCTGTGTGGTGGCTTTGGCTGAGTGACAGGCCAGGCTTTGGCTGAGAAAGAGTCACTCAGCCGGGTTTCATGTCAAAGGTGGAACTAGAACTCACCGTCTCCCACTATCTAGTCCGGTGCATTAACCACTACACCAAGCTGGCTCTAATTGTTCCTTTACCCATAGATTCTCTTTGTCAGGTTCAGTTTGTTCCCTCCAAGGGACAGAAAAGACTGCAACTGATCTCTCAATTTGAGGGTCTTCAGCATCTTACAGATCTTTCACCTTGCATGAGGAGATCCGGAGACCAAGTCTTTAGCAAAGAGCATCTCCCTATGATACTTCTGCTCCAAAAGGCAGTCTCTCCATCAGTCTGAACACTAGCAACATCTGGCTTGTCAAATAGCTACATGTGATGCATGGGGATTTGTTCCTTAATCCAGGACTGCAGCAAACCACAGCCAGTTCCCCACGAGATTGGGCTGCCAGACTCGGTGGCAAATTTCCTCCCAAGGGCTGATTTTGGAATTCTTTGGAGATTTAAAGGGTAGGAGGGGGAGCAAGAAATATCTGGAAGGCAAACCGCTCATATCTGTTATCCTGTGACAATATTCCCAAACTGGGATTTGGGAACATTTCTGAAGGCTGGGTCAGATTATAGGAGGGAGACTCATTAGTCTCCAGTTTCTCTTCTCACCCTTGGAATTAGGAAGATGGGGAAAGAGGGCTGATACCCCCATTTCAGTATTTTTAAAGCACAGCTAGCAGATCCATGGAAAGTCAGGAAACTGCGTCTTTCAAATAATGCAGATGCATAACTGGCCTTTGAACAGAGATCATTATAAGGCAATAAACACAAGGGTTCCTCTTTCAAACTAGAAGTCCTTGCCTGTCTCTGCTAAAATTCACTCAGCCCATTTCTCAACTAGGTCTCTTTGCTGCTCCACATGCCATTATCTACCAGAGAAGCTCCACCATCTTGCTTCAAAATTCAAAGCTCTCTCGCTAATACAATTCCGTAAACCAGCGTTCCTGGAACAATCTATTCCAGGGATGTCCAACCTTGGCAACTTTAAGACTTGTGGATTTCCCTTTTCTTTCTTTCCCCCCTTTTCCCTTCACTTTTCCCTTCCCTTTTCCCTCTCCTATTTTTCCTATTATTTTCTTTGGTATTTTTGCATTTTATATTATAAACTTAATTAAAAAAAAAAAAGACATGTGGACTTCAACTTCAGCATGGCTGGCTGGCTGGGGAATTCTGGAAGTTGAAGTCCAGAGGTGTTAAAAGTTGCCAAGGTTAACACTCCTGACCTATTGAAATATAATAACTGCTAAAAAGGTCGTTCCTTTTTGCTGTATTTCTAGCATTCCATGAACAACATTTCAGCTAATGGTTTGGAGGTTTCACCAGTGAAAGTATGTAATAGTAAAATGTTGTAGGACAAAGACCTACCTTAGTCATGGCTGTGTTGTGTTGCTCAGGCAGCAGTTTGATGAAAAATGGGGAGCTATAGAATCCCACAACAGAGGAGATCATTAAATAACTGAGAAACATTAAGGAAGAACAGAACAGAGTTATCTTCAGCTGATGTAAATCAATTAAATTTTATGTTACGGGTCATTGAGAAAAGAAAGAACACAATACTCATATTATACACAGATTATGCAACCTTACAGTAAAATGGAAGCTGGAAAATTCAGGACAGTAAAAAGGAAATATTTCATTGCAAATGATGGTGCTGGGTTCAGGGAGATGCCCATTTGGATGGCTTCCGAAAGGGAATAGACCAACTCATGGAAGAGAAACCTCTCTGTATAGTATGGTAGTTACGTAGCTGGCTTTCAGTAAGAGAGACAGAATGAAAGAAAATTAGAGCAGATTATTAATTATGAGAGGATCCAGCAACAGACTGATGATAAAAAACGAGTGTTTTCTTGCTAAAACGTGAATGGCATTAACTGCACCAAGAGCAATGAAGGCGATTCCAGTAAGGATACAATATCAGAATGACCTGCATGGCTGCCCCAAAAGAGCCAAAGACAGAGAAAGAAACTTTTCCAAGTGGTGCGTCCTGCAGAATGAGAAAAGGAATTCAGTTTTACTTTGGGGAGGGAAACATTACAAAATCTATGCTTTTCTGCATTATCAAAAGCTCAGGGCTGCAACCCAATCCAAATTCTTGCTGGGGGACTCCCTTTCTATAAATGTTCTATAAAATGTCATAAAAGTTGGGTTTTAAAATTGGTTGGCGGGCGTAAGCGCCTGCTTAGCTCTTTGCATTTTCCCATCATCAGAAGAAACAGAATATATGGCTTGCCTCCCAGTAGCCTCTCCCATGGAAGGAGAAGCTTCTATCAACTGGACGAAGGGAAGGCAATGACCACCTTTCCTTGGAGTTCTCTATAAGAGACCCCCTGCATCTGTTCTGGATGATTGGGGGGCTCTAGGGAAAAAAAAATCAGAAGGCGCAGAAAGGAAAGGAGGTAAAAGGCACAGGCAGCTGAGTTTCACTCTCAAGGAAACCTGCTTACTCCATGCAATATGTATAATCGTAGAATATAACTTTCTGGAGCACAAAGGTTGTTCTCCACTACACTTCTGGGGCAAAAGCTTAGAGCAGATCCGAGCAATGTATGGTCCCTGGGCCATATCTGGCCCTTTGGCTGTCCCTGTCCAGCCTGCACAGGTTGCTTTTATTTTGAAGGCAACTGCTATTTTTTTTTTAATTTACATATGTGTGTCTGTGCATACCTATGCACCTTCACAGCCTATTGCTTTGGCCCTCCACAAGAATCCTAATTTCTCATGTGGCTCCTTGAGAAAATTGCCCATCTGTGGTTTATATAATACCAGCTCTCCTTAGGGAAAGGAGGATAGACGCTGGATTCCTGAAATAGGGATTTTGCCCCAACTAAAAGCAATCGCGTATCGTCTGAATGATCAATAAAGACATCTGACAGAGTCATTCATGAAGCTGCAAATGAAAACCAGGCATGAGAAAAGTAGAAAAGCACCAAGGAGGGATGAGGTGCTTTTTGTACCCTCACCTGGATTCCTCGAGGCATTGCAGCATCATCCAACAGCAGCTCCAGAACATGGAAGCAGACAACCAGAACAGAAATACCCTAGGAAATACCATGTAAACATGAGTATTAGGTGAAAGGTAAGAGAAGAGAGGTTTCCATGCTGTGTCCCGAGCTTGCACCTTAAAGAGCTACATGCAACATTTGAAAATAATAGCAGGGACATTTCAGGTACCTTTGAAACTCGGTTCCTAAGCCAAAACATTGATCCTAGATATAAACACTGAAAGAATCTCTTTTAGGGATACATATATCATCAGCTGCCTAACAGAGACTCAGCATAATATAACCAACTATTTGTCTTTCTGCCTCAGTGAATTCTATTCATGTTCTTTTACTGCCCAAGATATGATTTGATAACCAGGCTTTGGGGTATAAAGTCCTATAACCGGCTGGATTTAATCTATAAACCATGGCTTAGAGATCACAATGACCGAAGTCACACATTATACTAAACCTGGTTTTCCCAAACACCTTGCTTTGGGAGGGGTATGCAGAGTTCAGGGAAGATGTGAAGAACCTTTTAGTTTACATTGTTAGAATAACTCCATTTTCCCCAAAGTTTCCTTTATATTGCTCTCATTGTGTTTATTCTGGTGTGCAATTATGATTTCAATGAAAGGAGGTGAGGTGTGATGACAAAAAGTTTAGAAAACCCTGCACTGCACCCAAACTAAGCCCAAACCCTGGTGTGATGGACTTAACAGGACAGGTAGTCAGCCATTCTAAAGTGCTTCCATAACTTTCTCTGGAGAAACTCTTTGCTGCCCCCAAGTGGCTACTCCATTCAGGGCTGAATTACCTATAATACTGCATAACTTGTTCTATTACAGCAGTTATTTAACCTCATTTATTTAACCTTTAAGGCCTGCGGATTTCAACTCCAAGAATTCCTCAGCCAGAAGGCATTCTGGGAACGGAAGTCTACACATCTTAAAAGTTGCTGAGATTGAGAAACACTGTATTAAGCTAACTAAAACACATAAAAATATATACATGTATCTCTTACTGCTACTTTACAGTTTAACAATGCACTGTTCTTTGGCATATAGAGTAGATGTAAATAATGTTCTAAACATATACAGTACTTTTAAAAAAACTTATATTCAAACTAATTTCCTGGCTTCAGGACATTGACATGGCAAGTCAAAAGGCTGGAAATTGGGAACTGAAATTCCCAAAAACTGGAATGCAGAAAAGTTGGAGAGGCTGATTTGTATGAGGGACAAGGAAGGGGTTGCCTTGCAAACATTGTGTTTCAACATGGAGATGATGAACAATAGGAATTACTGTCCAGTGTTATCTGGATGGCCACACACTATTGGAGCTATAAAATGCTATTTAAAGACTGATATAGACAAAAACAGAAATTTACAATTAATTTCAGCCCCAGAATTTACCGTCAATGACAGCAGAGACACCATAGCCAATGGATAGCCCAGGTTCCTTTGCCAAGCGGAAGCTTTGCGGCGGGTTTCTGCCAAAAAAGGAAGGGAAAAACATACACTTACAACACAGAGAAGTTATCTTGGATGAAGGATACAATTTTCCATGGCCTCCTGAGGAACTTCTTACTTCTAAGATAACCCCATTCAAGCTTTCTTCTCTCCTATGGAGAACAACCTCACTGCAATAGAGCGAGGTCTGTCAGCCTCCAATAAGATGTTTTTCTCCAATAAAATCAAACTTACTAAAGAAAAGGAGCTAATACTAACATGCATGTTTTATTCATCCGCATCTCCTTACTTAAAAGAAAAAAAAACAGTATGTGGATCCCAGGGAGAGAAGCCTGAAAGAAAGGCCCCAAAGGAAGAAGAAACTATCGTGATCAAAAGCAAAAACGCTGTTCAAAATTATAGGCCTCAATCCCAGGATATTCAGTCTTGCTTTTCTCAGGTATTTCTCCAAAGCTAATAACCCAGCATCTTTGTGATGTTTGTTCTTAGGTTGGAGTCAAGTTTAGAAGATGAAGATAAGTAATCTGTTCCCCTCTAGAATTTTTTTACAGATCCCAACAGGCTGTAGATTACCAAGGTTATGTAGCTTAACACCTGGAAGGCATCCATTTCCTGCTCTAACTCTAAATAGAGCATAAGCAGATTTAGGATAGCAATCCAGGGCGAAGGCTTCTCTGCCATCATAAATTCTTAAACCCAAGGCAGGTTTCTGAAAAAGCATGGGAGGTATGCATAATAGAGAAGGTGAATACACCTGGGAAGATCTTAGTATGTCTATTTGTATGGCAGGAGGGGAATTGATCTGAGCGCTCCCAGGCTAGCATTGCATAGATGTTCAATTTATCCATAATTTAAAACATAAAATAAAAGTAGTGCTTGGTGCCATAATAGACAGAACACAAGGGACAGGAAATAGGACTATTTTGATAGAGCAAATCCGTGCTTTTAGAAATGTTGGTTATGTGGAGTCAGCAGAGGGGCAACAGAGTTATCTCCACGGATAAAAGAGCAGGAACAGCCAGCTCCTTTCCACATACATTTTATTCTTACCCAGTGTTATCCTGTGTGCATGAATGGCTAGGTATTGTTGTCTCAACATTTCCACATCAAAGTTGAGCCAGCAGGATGTTTTCCCTGAACAAAAGCAAAAGAGAGAGAGAGAGAGAGAGAGAGAGAGAAAAGAGATAGAACCTGGATCAGCCTCAATGCCCACATGCAGCAACCCACTTCTCGTGGCATCAGGGTATAGTCCTATATACAGGCAATCCGTGTTGAGTGACTATATAGTGACTGTTTGAAGTTACACTGGAGGAGAATGTGGTGGATTTACAATGGGTCCTCGTCATTGCAGCCATCGCATGATCATAATTTGGATGCATGGCAAACCCTCGCAATTACAACAGTAAACGGCATCCTTCAGTCATGTGATCAACCACCTTGCAACCTTCCACGTAGCCTCTGGCAAGCAAAGGCAATGGGGAAGTCAGCAGGAGGTTGCAAATAGCAATCATGCGACTACAGAATGCTGCAGCCATACAGGAGTTATCTAACAATAGCAACTGGGACTGCTGCAACTTCCACCATAAGTTGTCATGGTCATGCGATATTGTGCTTTACAACTGCATTGCTTAGCAACAGAGTTGCCAGATCCAATTATCATTAAGTGAGGATTACCTGCCCTTTCAAAGCATATTAAAAATGAAGCTCCCCTGGAGATCCCTTGTAGACTGGTGCATGTACACAATCACAATGCTGACTGCTGTATGTTAGCTGTCATTTCTGAATGGATTTTATGTAGAACTATTTATTATTGTAGAAGTCTTAATGATTTAGTTGATCTATGGGGCTGTACACCATTGAAAGTCTTAATGGATTGCAATGGGATAGAAAACAAGTAATCGAACAGTCATTTCAGCTGTCTGCTAAATCCAAGCATAAGGATTCCCAAGCCTCAGCTCTGTCTAGCCTTAAATGGGCACCTACCAGAGTTGATCTTGCGAGAAATGGCAGCTTCCTCGAATCCTGTGCAGCTCAGTTGCTCATCTAAGTCCTCCAGGAGCTGAAAAGACAGGAAACATGCACTCAACACCCTACTGGGAATAAAGCTGTTTGCTTTAACCATTCCAGAAAAATGTATTTCCACAGCTTATGCCTTTTCTCTTTCCCAATCAACTAGGCAAAGATGAAGAGTGGGTGGTTAAGAGTTTAACTGAAAGATCTGTGGGATTTGGCAATAATGGCAGGGATTTTTATCTGCCAAATGTTTTAACATCAGCAACAATGGTATATTGCTTAAAGCAGCTTGGGAGGAGGAAGAAATAATTGGCAATGGATTTTCAGGTGCAAGAATGGTGGCATTTATTTCATTCTACCAATCAAAACAATTTTGGGAAACAAGTTATGTAATGCGAATCATTTTGGGGGAACTGACCCTAGAAAGGCTGAAGCTAACTTACCCTGGGCTTTACCAACAGTGTCCCTGTGACAGTGAACATCCGTGACAGGCCAAAGGGTGTACACACTGTAAAGAATTGGAGAAAGATCAGTTGTGACTAGCCCCAGCAAATAACCCCCAAATGGTCATCTCTTGCCAGAAGGTGGCACTGTCCTCCAATCTAGGAAAGTTCTGTCAGGAAAGCAGATCTGCTTGTTTTGCTGTTTCACCATTATTTGATGTCAGAGTCCAGCACAGAGCAGCTGGAGAAAACAGGTGCCATTTTAAGGAATCCAGCAGGTTAAAAAAAAAATGAACCCGTCACCTCTTTCTACAGTGCAACAGATTATTGGGTTCGGGCTCTTCAAGTTACTATCTTCACATTCCCATTATCTACCATTTTCCTATTGTGTTATTCAAAGAGGCACTTTTCCTTTCAAAAGGTTAGATGGTAGGAGCCAACAAAGCAACATTCCCCAACGCTTTCCAAATGCTTCAGAATTGCAACCCTCAGAATTCTGAGCTAACATGGATGAATGTTGGGGTTCTGACCTATCAGGTAATGACTGTGCTGACTAGGAATTCTGGGAGTTGTAGTCCCTATGCAGGCAGAGAAGGCTAGAAAAAGTTGCTGTGCTGGGTCTCAACTGACCAGTTGAACACCAACCCTCTAGGAAACCATAATACAGTAGAACCTCGGGTGATGACCGTAATCTGTTCTGAGAATTCGGTCATCACCCAGTTTGGTTGTCGCCAGAAGTGCATATGCGTAAAAAAAGACGTGGCATGGAAGGGCTAATTACCACGAAAGGGCAAATCGCTGCGGTTGGTTGCCACCCAAGCACCAATTCATGACCAGAGGTAAAAACTTTTGGTCATCCGATTTGTTCGCAAACGGAAGTGTTCGCGACCAGAGGTTCTACTGTACTTCTATAATAGACCACATCTACAACAGACATTGTCCATTACCAGTATTGACAATTCAAAGAACTTTGCAGCAGATGATAAAAAACACCCCTTCTCTGTTCCAAACTCTGAAGCAGCAGGCATGACTCAGTGGAAAACTTACACAGGAGCAGAAGGACACCAAACAAGGAAATGCAGGAGTAGAGATAGGGAAGGTAGTATTCCCAGAGATCTATGGGAGAAAAAGAATACAATCGGGTTACATCCCAGGTGGAAAGAAATATGGACCTCTCGGTCTAGGAAATATCAAGGATGTTGCTGAACTTCAAAACCCAACAGCCCCCAATCATCAGAGCCAAGAACAAGAGGAAGCTGGGAATTGAATTCAGACATATCTGAAGGCTTCTAGATTGCCCATGACTGAGCTGAAGATCCTACTACGTACAAAATAGAGACTTCTCAGAAAGCAGGAATTAAAATATTGAACAAGAGCCATGTGATCACCTTTACCCCAAGTTATTACTTCTAAGATCTACAGTATATCATGGATTTTATTCAGGAGCTGAAGGAAGCATATAGCAATAGCACTTAGATTGAGATACCGCTTCAGAGTGCTTTACAGCCCCCTCTAAGCGGTTTTAATAGAGTCAGCACATTGCCCCCAACAATCTGGGTCCTAATTTTACTGACCTTGGAAGGATGGAAGGCAGAGTCAATCTTGAGCCTGGTGAGATTCGAACTGATGGAGTGAACAGCCAGTGATACTGCATTTTAACCACTGCACTACCATGGCTCTGGTCATTCCCTCCTCCTCATTTCCCCCCACAACAATCCTGTGAGGTAGAATAAGCTGAGAGAGAATGACAGACCCAAAGTATCACCCACTGAGCTTTTGTGGCTGAGGGGGAACTAGAATCTTGGCTCTCCCTTGTTCTAATAAAACTCCTTAACCTCTACACTACCACTGGTTCTTGCTCTCAAGCATTTTTGAATTGAGCAAAGAAAGAAGAAGGTCCTTTTGTCTCTCCAGAAATTATTTCCAATGCACCACAAATCATACGAAGAGTTGTTCTCATCTCAAACATCACTGCTAGGCAGAACTAGTTCTTCTGAATCTGCAGCTGACCAACCGTTCAGTTGTGTGTTTCATTTCCTGCTTGGTTTTCATGAGGCATGACCAAGGGAAGCTAGACTATTAGAAGTTTGTTTATTCAGTGGTGGAGAATTTTGCCTACATGAAAAACCTTGGGTTGGAAGCACCCAGTTAATTTATTTATTTGTTTTATTTGACTTGTATCCTGCCTCCATTGTTTATAAATAACCCAAGCCAGCAAACATACCTAATACTCCTTCCTATTTCCCCCACAACAGCAGCCCTGTGAAGTGGGTTGGGCTGAGAGAGAGAGAGAGAGAGAGTGACCGACCCAAAGCTACCCAGCCAATTTTTGATGCTTAAGACAGGGCTAAAACTCACCGTATCCTGGTTCCTAGGCTTAACTGCTAGACCAAACTGGCCTAACAAACAAAAATTGGACAAACAGACCAAACAATTCCTTCACAACTCAGCTCCACTGATGAGAGGATGAGGGATAAGAAGATGATTATTTATGCTTGCTGGCTAAAGTTTGGGCAACTTGGAAACCAGTGCTGTGCCTGGCAATGTAGATTCAAGGGTATCAGTCTTCAAGGGCCCTCCCTGCTACCGGAGGCTCAAATCTCCCCTTGCAGTGGGAGGTGTATCCTCCCCTACCATAACTCACCATAGAGACTTTCCCTGCTCGCCCCATCCTGGTCCAAAATAGCAGAGGCGACCCAGACCATTCCCAGCACCAACAGGGTTAGCAACAGCAGGACTACAAAGGTCTCATACACCCGAGCCATGATCCCCTGGACAGAAGGAGAAAAGTGGGGAGAGTTATTTCCGCTCTAGAACTGGGAACAGGAGGAGATGTCTTCAAAAGGCAGCTGGCACTATTTGGTTTCCAGGTGGAAACCATTTTTGGACTTTTTTTTTGCTTGAAACAGAAATCAAGTGAAATTTTAATTTGACGATTCAAAATACCGTACACGATATAGAAATACTGCACACTATTAAATTTTAGAGCAAAAGGTTATTTTTTGTATTTGTAACTGCACTGAAGAAAGGTGGAAGTTACTTTTATTCTATTATTTTTCTTTTTTCTTTTATGCTTTGCACTTTTCATACCCTACTTTTTTTAAAGTGTTTTTTTTTTAAATTTTATTTTGTGTAGGAATTCAAGTGTGTGCATATGTGTATGTGAGTGTCTAAATAAAATAAAATAAATAAAAAGAGACAGCTGGTACCTTCTTTGATCCGGCAAAGCCTTCTGACTCCGTGAAGAAGTAGGCAAAGGGCATGAGGAAGACAAGGGAGAGGTTGGAGAAGAGGAAGACAAGATTCCAGAGTCCTAGGAACAAAAAAAAAAAAAAAAGGAAAGAGATTCCCTTATGCCTCTGCTCCAGCTCCTCAAAGGTATATATATCCCTGCTCCCTCTCCTGCTGTTGGACTCCTGCTAGCCTCCTTGATTTGGGCCACTCCTGGAATGATTCACAAGGGCCCAACTCTAGTGGGGAACACCCATTTCCTCTCCAAGCTAGATCCTAGAGCCCTATCAAAGCTGAAAATCCCATCCACCTTTGCAGAAAGGATGCACTGACCACAAAGGCTTGGTACAGAGTTTAAAGTGATGTTCTCTCCCTAAGCCGCCCCTGCTCTGAGGTGGCTTCTTTCAGACTGGGTCAATTCCAGACAATGGGAGGATTCACCCTGCAGGGTCTTGCTTCTACAGCCCAAATGTTGGTGATTGTGGGATTTTCAAAGGAGAGAAGCTAGGATTTGGGAGACACAGAGAACTCTGAAGAAGAAAAGTTGGTGCTAATTTTGCTTTCTTTTTTCTTTTCTTTTTTTTTAAAAAAAAGAGGGAAAGACTCCCTTAAATTGAAACTGCCTTCTCTGGCAGTTTTACACAAGAGAGTTCCCATCCTTATGTCCCCAAATGCTTTTCTGATGTACCAGTCCACCTTACCATCCCTGGTCTCCCATTCAGGTGCCTTCTGATCAACCAAAGTCACCTCAGGGCTATCATGTGCTGAGACTTGGTTTTACAACTCGCCCGAGAGTTCTAATCCCTCTTACTATTCACGTTTTCTCCATTACGAAAGTACACAGAAAGGGGAGGGGCACGTTCCTTCCTTCTCCCCACAGAGACAGATACCCACAGAGGAAGCATTGCAAGGAGCTCACCATGGATGAGGGAGCCGTTCAACCACTGGATGTAGTAATTTTGAGGGAAGGAAAGCAGAACTTCATTGCCAATGATGGAGAAAGGCAGCAGAAGTACTGCCCCCAGGGACACAGCCAGAGTGAAGGTGCACAGCCACAGCCTGAGCAAAAGGGCACAAAAGAAAGGGTAAGATGCTTGTCCACAACCATCTGACACTGCTTGCTCCATAGTGAAGCCAGAGCCTATACCTCATATTTATCATTTTCTTCCCCAAATAGAAAGACATTCTCTCTTGGGCCTCCATGTTCAAAGGACGAGAAGGATAAGACACTTGAGCATGAAAAGAGAGAGAAGCTGTGTTTACCTCACACAGGAAGCTAAAAGTTTGACAAGAGTCTCTGTCTCTCTCTCTCTCTCTCTCTGTGTGTCTGTCTCTCTCTCTCTGTCTGTCTGCTTGACTGCCTGTCTGTCTATCTGTCTCTCTCCCCCCCCCACCTCTCTTTCTCACACACACATCTGTTGGATCAGTTCTTTTCACAAGAGTCTTATCAAAATCTAGAGCAGTTCCAATGAAGGGAAGCCTGAAGTCATAAATAAGGCTTTCAAATTTTAATTTATCCCAAGTCCTTTCAGGCTTGGTAGGCAGCTAAAATCTAACTTTCTGGATTAGATGCAACCTTTAACGGGGTGGTATGATACTGTGGTATCCTTAACATGCCACATGAATGCCTTATGTATGTGGATCTGAAAAAACATGCATGCTTTACTTTTATATAAACATATGCAAAAGCATGCCTTTTCTAATTTATTTATTAAATTTATATGCTGCCCATCTTACTATCAAACAACTGAAAAATAATGTCTGAAGAGGACAAGAATTCCTGAAAGCCTGAAGGGGTATCCAGGGCTGCCTATAATACATTCTCTACCATTAATGCCTGGATCCAAGAGAAATACAAAATTCCCCCTCATATTTGTTTACCTGGGCCATATTCCGAAAATACCTTTGAATGGTGTCCCTAATCACACAAAAAGTGGGATAGGGAAATCCAAATTGGATGCATTTTTATTGGACATTTCAATTTTTAAAAAATAATTCATAAAATGTTAAAAAGGAAAACACAGAAGTGGGAAGAAGACAGGGGAGAGGGAAGTTATGAATATCTTAAGAGGAAAAAGGAGGGAACTTACGCAATCCGATTGACCGCAGCATCTTCATCAACTAAAAGAATAGAAAAAAAAATTGTATTATTACTGTTATTAAACTACGTGCCTAAAGCTACTTTTCTATCAAAGAACCCAAAATAATATATATGGTTTGCTTTGCCAGTCTAGTGAGGTAGATTAGTCATCATTCTAAACTTCTATTACCGCCAGCTACCATGGAGGAGTGGAGATCTGAATTTGTGTCATCCAATGACAAACTTTTAATTGCCAAATGCATGGGATATTCCTGACAGGAAGTGTAATGATGGCATTTAGTCTTTACTATATTCCATGTTGGTGACAGGACATTTTATATAAGACCTACTTGAATCCCAGTGAAACAAAGGCAACTTTTAAACCCACCTCAGTTCACTTTTATACAAAGTGTCCCCCTAGCTCATTGCAAAACCATGACTTTATGCAAGGGCAAAATGTAATACACAGCATAAATACAGTGAAAACACAGAAGAAAGAAGGCTAGGAGAGGAATTCTCTGGGATTAGCAGAACTTACTTCTTGTCCAGTATTATCAATTATAAAATATGCAGCTGAAGACAAGAACTCGTCCAATCAATCTGAACAGGCTGGTTGACCAGGGATGTCAGAATCTACTGTTCAATTCAGTTAGGGAAAAAACCCTTATAGAGAAGTTTCTGGTACTCTGTCTTCACTATCACAAAGAGATGGTATAGTTTTTCCTTCTCCTCCATCCTCTGCAGATAAATTCAACCCTCCTCAGAGAAGGTGGTTTCCTTGAAATTCAGAATACAAAGTAGAATATCCAGGAGTTGTGTTCTGTATACAGCTCCCTAAGGCAAAGCTGGCTGGGGAATTCTGGGAGTTGAAGTCTGCCAGGCTTAAAGTTGCCAAGGTTGGAGATCCCTGCCCTAGGGAACTGCGGTGAACAATGCCTCTCTCCAGCCATAGGACAACAGACTGGGTGGTTAGAACTGCACATATAAAAAAATTTCCTTATGAATCTGATGCCCAATCGTGTAGGCTTCAGTAGCACAAGGAAAGTTTTGTGGGGATCCCTATGCTGTAGTTATCTATCTAGGAAAAATGTTTTGTTATGGTATAGGAGCAAAACCAGACTCTCTCTGCAATTTGATCTTAAAAGTCCCACTGTTTCCTCATATCCCTTATGCCCAATCAGCATCAAACCAGCAATAGGAAAATTGCTAAGCTGGAAAAAGAGCTATATTCCCTAAGCCAACTGCTGTCAGGGCAACTAAACTAGCAGCAGCATAAACAAACTTTAATTTAAAAGACAAAAAGCCCTTCTACAGGGACTGGGTCCAGAGACCTCAGCGCTGGTACAAAGCAGGAGAACTCTGGGGACGAAATCTTTCCATTTGGAGCAGAAAGGGTGTATTGTCTCTCAAAGCTTCATTTGCAGGCATTCTGCACAGAAGTTACTCAAGAGTTGAAGCCTGAGGGAGCTAACCAGAGGGAGCCCACAGAGTCCACTCTTCCATTGTTTTGTGAACAATTTATAGACTCCCAAGTGGTTGCAAAGGGACATTTGCCAATCCTGCTAAAATCAACTGGCTTAGTTGCAAGTTTGACATAGATGCTCCGAGGCTCATACAAAGCAGTTGACAAAAGTTATGGAAGATCATCCAGTTTCACACTGGCTGATAGAGATGTTAATGATCAAACAAATAAGTTCTTCTCTGCCAGAAGGGAAGAATCTTAATTTATTAATGGGATTGTTACAGAAGCATCCAAGACTTTATGACAGTACAACCTTCGCTCAATCTGATGTCCTCCTGGATCTATCAAAATTACAGCTATGATTATGCTGACCTAGGACTGGTTTTTCCTTCTGGGAATTGTAGAAGCAATAATCCAGCCAATGATTTTCTGGCATTCATCTAGCTGAGAGAGGTTTGCCTGGAAAGGCCAAACCTTTGCCAATGCAAATGCTGTTGCAGCAGAGATGTTCACTTTGAACACATGCATACCAGAAGGCTGGATTCCCACAGTGCACTAAGGCATGAAGCAATCTGCCTTATTTTGACATAATGTAATACTACATGTGAACTCAGCCACTGTAGTGTTTCAACCTTGGTGAGTTTAAATTGCGGATTGTTCAGCAAAACCAGGATTAAACAAGAGCATTTAGTGCAATGTGAACTCCGCTGATTTGTGATAATTGAGCAGGACACATATTTTGGAAATCTTAAAATCAAGGGAAACTGCTAGCTTCATTCTCCCCTAAACTCTAAAAGGTCATGTCCTGTATGGCAGTGGTCCCTAACCTTTTTTGTGCCATGGCCCGGTACCGGCATCACAAAATCATCCGCGGCCCGGTACCGGCATCAGCACGCATGGCAAGGCGAGGATTCTTTCAGCACCCAAACGCCGCTTTCTACCCGGAAAAGCTCACCGGAAGCACTTTTTCATCAAAACAAGATGGCGGCGCCCAGCAAACCGGCGGCCCGGTAGAAATTATTCCGGGGACCGGTGGTTGGGGACCCCTGCTGTATGGCTTCCACAACTTCAGTGGTGGTGTAGTATAGTGGTTCAGGACTAGGAAGGACAAAGGGGAGACTCAGGTTCTAGGCTATCTTCAAATCCCTGAGTGATTTTGGGCCAATCCCTCTTCCTCAACCCAGCCCACATCATAGGGGTGTTGCTCCTGGGAAAAATGAGAAAAACTGAAGAAAAGGCACCTAACAAAATTGGAATCTAACAAATAAATAAATAAATCTGCCTTCTGAAACCATGTATCTAGAACAGCTTTCCCAAGCCTAGACACCACCTGGACAGATGATTTTCGGCTCCCAGTAGATCTGGCCTTTGTTGAGAATTCTTGGCACTGAAATCCACCCACTCAGGTAGGGGAGAAATGACCTTGATTTGCCTGCCTTCCCAGTTACCTGTAGTGAAGTCTGTGTGCCTTTTGAAATAGGTTAAGATGAAGTAGCACAGGATGTAGAGGCTGCCAAAAAGAAGGGTGCAGATCTGTGGGAGGAGAAGGAAAAACTGGTTATGAGATGTTGGTCATGAGTCATCCTTATCTCTTCCCAGTGACTTGCATTCTTGAGGATATGCAACCCACTTCATCCAGGGCAAATAGAACATAATTTGGGATACTGTAGGATCATCTTCTCTATCCTAGTTGCTTAGCAAAACCATTCTATTCCCATCACTGTATTCAATTTTTCTCTCATTTTCCTTTATCAACATTTCCTTATGAAATTACTTCAAAATACAAGCAGCCAGCAGGTTGAGAAAAACTGGCGTTTTCAACACTTTCCTGAAACGGTTTCTCTGTTGCAATTATTCTCTCTTGTCACCCACGTTGATGTTTCCCTCAGTCATAAGTGTGGTTTCCCAGATTTTCCAGTTTTGGTGCTCTTCAAACCTATCCCATTACTGCTGCCATCTCTACCACCATCTTTGCTTCGTGTATCTTTGAATCCAGTCTAGATCTGGTATGTAAGCACGTGGGCTGCATTTGCAGGAAAAGGCTGACAATTTCCTGCTTTAATATTTCCTTGTTTTGTTTTGCTCTCTCCAGCTTTTAAATCATCGCCCCTTCCCAGGTATTGTTTAAAAGTATGTTAGGGAACCCAGATGAAATTAGAGGAAAGAAATGTGACTTCTAAAGGAGATTTTGAAGTCATCCCATCCCCCTCAAGTCAAGCTTACAACTGAAAAGAGTGAACGGAAAAGTGAAGTGGGAAGAAGAGTGGATCAACAAGTTTCATCCTTTCTTCTAGTCTGACTGCTCTATTTCTGATTTTTTTTTAATATCTTAGCTATTCCATTGCCAGCTCATTCTCAATATTCAGAATATTATAAGCAAGGGAAGGAAGCCCAGCAGTATTTTTTAAAAAATAAATACACCTCCGATTAAAAGATTTGAGAGTGAAAAATGATGATTTCCCCTGGTCAGACATTCTTCCAGTTGAAGCCACATTGCCTCCTCTAGTAACTTCACATAAAATGGAAAACACACCCTCTCAAATACGTGCATTTCTGAGAACAGGATTTAGAAGTTAAAACAACAAAACAAAGCATGAAAAGAAGGTCCCATCAGTAAAGCTATGTAAACAAAACTAGCCTAAATCTGAAAATTGAAGGGTCAGAGCTCTCCAGGCAAAGAAACATTGCAAAATAATCCTCCAGCTATTTTTTTGTGGAATGAGCATTAAATTGCTCTCCAGCCCCAACATGTAGTAGTTATATAAAAAGAAAATCCGGATGTTTCATCTGCCACATGATAGGCTTACTGGGCTGCCAAGGACATTCAGGTGATGCTCCTGAAAACATACCAGGTTTAATTTAAAGGTTCATCTTTTTGCATTCTTAGGTTCCAAAATTTTGTTCTTCAAGAAAGAAAGCAACCTTCTGTGAGATGATTAAATGTTGCAGGCTCCTAACCCACCGTACACTCTAGAGTATAAACCTATTTTAAAATGTGACAAAAGTTACACACTATCCTTTTTCAATCTGGTGCTATCCAGATAGGATGGATTTCCAAAATCCCTCCGCCGTACTAGCCAATAGAGCTGAATTCTCACAGAATCTATTCCAGAGTATTTGCCAATCCCTGATTAACCATATCAAAGAATTGAAGTTATAAAAAAGAGACTGCTACCAAAAAGTAACCAATCCCCTTCAGGGAATTTCAACAGTAAAAAAGATGACCACAAATATGTAGCATCTCAGTTTTACATCAGAAACAAGGTTCCAGTCTTTAGAAATACAGAAGTATACTGAAAACGATGAATGCTGTAAAGAAGGCCAAACTAATTTCCTTGGTTAGGGAAAAGGCAATAATCTAAGTTTATTGTTCACCCGTATAGACTTTTTGTATGAAACTGAAAAAAATAAAAAGCTTTGAGTAAGAGGTAATTTTGTAATTGTAGATATATTTATAAGAGAATATCTGTAGCTCATGGGTTGAACTGTGAGATCCTTAGTACTCTCTGAGCGTGATTTTTTTTGCAGACAGCTCATTATCCAAACTAGGTAACATAATCAGTGTAAACACATGATGATGAGGATGATGATACTGTTAGTTTGAGTAATGAAATGTTTGCAAAAAACCAATCAAGCCTGAGACACTGCCAAATACTCCATTGTAAGTTATGTTTGCTGCAAAAAAAAATTGGAAGCTGCTTCTATTTTTCATTTCATTTTTTCCCCTTTCTTTACTTTATGTTAGTTCTTGTTTTACCTTCTTTTCAAAATTCTTAATAATTTTTTTTACTGAAACCACAGTGAAAGCAGGGGAAGAACAAAGGCTGGGAGAAAGCAAGGAAGAGGCAGGCAAGAAGTTTCTTTTTAAAGCAGGAAGCCACGACTTCAATTTCATATCAATCCCACTCCCATTGCCCTGTTCTGTCTGAAAAGAGGAACAAACAGCTTGTGGGGTTACAGCCTCTTCTCGCCCAAAAGGGAAGCAGGAGAGCAAAACAAAATTGTTCCAAGCCAGCTGGCATCCTGTAGTATGATGTGCTTTGGCGTTGCCGCCTGAGAGATGACCTAGCAGAGTGTTATGCAGTCAGGCAGGAAGAAGTGGTTGTTTTTTTTCCACCTCCTCTACGATGCCCCAAAATTAACCTTCAAACAGAAAAGGAGCATCCTGAGTTCCAAACCAAATGACCCGGGTAGCTTTTTATTTCATGTCTTCATTACCAGATTAAAGTACCCCTAGCCAAGGAGAGCAGGCAGCCTTTCTTAAAAGGTTTCCCTTAATGGGCTGCTCTAAGGTAAACACAGATGGAGCTTTATTAAGAGAGGAAGATGAAAGCTGTATAGGCCAGTCGACAAGAAACCTGGAGGGTTCAAACCCCCGGAAGAGACAGACTCCAAAAGCTGGAGGCCGTGCCAGGTATTTCTAACTAATTACTGCACTAATCCTTGTAATCCGCATTATGATCCCTAAATCATAGGCTGGCTCTCACACTATGCCATCCCCACAGCTTGCTTAATCACAATTTATGAAGTCATCTTCAATGGGAGCATGAAACTATTGCGCCTTTCAGAATTTCTTCCACGGGCTCTGGAGCCGATATATCTCACAGGGTACAGGGAGGACCTCGACTTACAAGTGTTCGTTTTAGTGACCGTTTGAAGTTATACTGGCACTGGAAAAAGTGACTTATGGTGGCTTTTCACACTTACGACCGTAGTCACGTGAGCAAAATTCAGATGCTTGGCAAGTGACTCCTATTTATGATGACTGCAAGGCCCCAAGGTCATGTGATCACCTTTTACGGCCTTCTGACAAGCAAGGTCAATCGGGAAGCCCGATTCATTTAACAACCTCAACAACTCCGGTGATTCACTTAACAACTGTGGCAAGAAAGGTTGCAAAATGCAGCAAAACTCATTTATTAACCATTTGGCTTAGCAACAGAAATTTTGGGCTCAATTGTGGTCATAAGTCAAGTCTAATCACTCACTTTAAGAGAACTTAATTACTTCTTTTTTTTTTATAATTTTTTTATTAATTTTCAATAAACAAACATACACAAACAAAACACAAAACATAAAAACATAAAACTTCTTTTTGGAAAGCGGCTTAATGCCAGGTTACATCTTTTTGTACAGAAATAAATTCGAATTCATGCTCACTTTATATACCATTTCATATCTTATTTACCATTCTACATTTTCTATATAGCTTCTCCCCTCTTTTCACTCTCTTAATTCTGTTTTATTTATTTCATCTCAATTTAAATCATTATGCTTATATCTTTTGTCTGTTCTGTTTCATTTATCTATTATCTTTTCTCATTAACACAAAATTTTTCCTGTAATCACTGATTGAAGTATGACGTCTTTATATCTTTCCCCTAAATTTAACACTTAAAATAATATATAATGTTCATTCTGCTTCTGCTTAGTACATTCTAAAGCTACGTACTATATTTTAAAATAAGAAAGAATAATAAGTTTATAATATAATTAAATCAATAATCCATAGCAAGTTAAACTCTATTGTTAAGTCTTAAGCATTTTACATCTTCCTTTTAATATTTTATCCCATTTTATAATCATATAATATTACAATTTTCTAACATTATATCAAATACAACAATGCAGTCTTATGTACTTTTGCAGAATCTCTTTTTTAATTATATTTTTACCTATTATCTCTGAATGAATCCTGTTTCTTTACATCTTATTTCAAAGCTTTGTAACTTCTCTTCCCTTTTTCCCTTCCTTTCTTCTCCAATCTAGCCTTTTTATCCCGTCTCTTGATTTCCACCCTCTTAATCTCCACTCTCTTCTGTATTCCTTTTTTCTGTTGCTTTCTGATATTGTATCAATTTTTCACCTTATTTTTCCCTTTTTTGGTTGTCCTTTTAAGTCTTAAATTCTCCATTCTCTTTCCCCTCTTTCCCTTTTCTTCCCCAGCTAAAGTTGCTTGTTCATTAAAGATGGCTTCTTCTTCATCCCAATCTTCTTGTTCTTGTAGTTCTGGTAGGTAGAAATCGCCATTTCTAAAAAATGGAAAACAGATCCAGAAGAGCCCTTCCCTTCTTGTTCCTCTTCTTTTAGCTTTTTAAATTCCATTTTCAGTTCATCAACAAGTAATGCCATTGTGAAAAAATTTTTAAACAACCCAAATGTTTTTAATCTTTCAAATAATAATTTCCAAAAGTCCCAAGCAATCCAAATACACACAGACTGTTTCATTTAGCACTTTCTTCTTTTTCTACTTTCTCTTCCTGGGGTTACAGTTCAGTTGCAAAGTTCCAATTAAAATATATCTTTTAGAAGTCTTGTTACAATTTAGCTCTAGTCTTATAGATTCTAAGCAGCCTCCTCCAGCAAAGTCTTAATATTAATTCCTTTCCTCTCCCTTCCCACTTATAGCAAAAAAAAAGTTCAGAATGTTCAGAAATCTTTATTGTCCCCTTGGCTTTAATTTTCCAATTTAATTACCTGCTGATGCCAAAACGGGTTTTTCCGATTTCTCATTCATCTGCTATCACCGTAAG